AACATAAAGACAAAGGTTTTAAATACATTCATATTGGTTTAGTTCAAGTGGGGATTAAACCACTTATAAAAGAGGGATTGAACACCTCAATCCTAGCAGTCCTTAGAGACAATAGGTTTACAAACTTTCAAGACTCTTTGTTAAGTTCAATTGAGTCTAGTTTATGCGAGTGGACCTATTTCTTTTGATTGTTATCCAAATTTTACTTGTCTCCTTGAATGACAAAAATATCATTGAATCATTGATGCTTGCAAGTTAAAACTCATAATTATCATATGATGGATGGATCTATTCCGAGTTGCATTAATCACAAAAATTCATTACAAAGCCATGAATTCTACATTTGCATCTAAACACAAAAGGCGATCGATCAAAGGTGAAACCCTTCTACACGCAAACAGATCCGACCAAATCCAACACCGTTATTCCCGGACCTATTAGGTGGAAAGACATAGTGCTTCCGGATGAATGGATCTTGGAAGGAATTACAAAACCCGGATCTCTACCGGTTCACGAGGTCCCAAAACCGAACACACGAAATCGGATCCATAGAACAACACATGGATGGGAGTGTTAGACTCTCGTTTGACGGAAAATTTACCGACGGTAGATTTTACGATATTGCCTTTAGTTCCATGACTTATGACCTAGGAAGATTTTACGAGATTCCTTCGATCATAAATTTACCAAATGTTAGGAGAGATACGGACTTGGATCGAGTACGCCATCCCTTAGACAACCACGTAGGTTTTCAACCTCGGATGTCCACTAACCCGATTTTACAAAACGTTGATTATGGTACCCATATTCCAAAACCCGGATATTCAAACCAAGAGGATTCTCCTCCTGCATCTCCTACTGCATCTGCTATCACCGATAACATTGCGCATGAATGTAATGCTTTGATCGATGATAGTTTTACGATAGACAAACAATATCCGCATGATGACTTCTATGCAAAACATAATTTTGAAAAACGAATGTGGTTCTTCAAAAACTTTTTGGCTACCGGAAAAGATATTCAAAATGAATTTTATGAATTTGTGAATGCTCATAAAGTTCATATATTATTCTTTGATTGGTTTGAAATTTATGCTTCGCAAATGATATTTCCTATCCTTTCGGATACGTGAAACCGATAGCTCGTTAGGAACAAAACCCCTACATGGGAAGTGGAAGGACGGATGATTCGGTCGACCATCCGCCACCTAGGAAATTGACATTCTCCCATGGAGAAACCAAAATAGAAGCATGCCCTTACAAAATCCCTAAAGATGATGACTCGATCAACATCAAAAACATTGTTCAACGGAACAATTTTACCAATACCAATCTCCGAACCATAGGAAAACGGCTTGTTAGGATCGAATCCCATATCCAGCGAGACGAGTTGTTCCTCTCATCCCAAAACACTGTAGTCTCCTTAGCTCCTGTAGAAGCTAAAGACCGGAAAGCTGAAAAACCCGGTCTTGAACCCTTTCGGGTTTCTAGATCGAGTCAAAACCGGATACAAACAAACAAACACGAGTTTGTCAAAGCCATTAGAGACCAACTTAGCAAGATAGGAATATCTTCGAGGGAACCTCTAAGCATGTTAGCTCACGATACTCCTTTATCCAATAGCGTAAATGTTCTAGATCAAAAATCGGAGACAGAATTCGTTCACGAAATTAATAAGTTTCATTGGCCAAAACGAGTTAGTGTCCTAACTAACAAACAAAACCTCATTTTAGATATCGTCGAGAGAATTGATGATCCTCGATTACAAAAGGAATATCTGGACGAGACTCTTAAAGTACGTAGAAGAAAACCCTCGTGACAAACCAAAACCTGCTATCTTGCCTTCGACTAGTACTAGCACGTATGACCTTACTGCTATCCTAGATAGGAAGAAGAAGACCAAGAAACATATGACCACAATTCGGGACCTTCGGTCCGAAATTAAGGTCATCAAAACGAGCTTAAAGCGCTCAAAGACAAACAAACCGGAGACTCCGGTCTCTTGAAAACCCTGTTGGACAGACGGGCGGATGAAGAGCTCGGACTCGACTGCGAAAACCATGATAATGACCAAGAGTTACCAAACCTTGAAAACCTGGAACACGTTCAGAAGATTTCCTGTTTGTACTTCGTGAAGTTACTTCTAGGAAATATTTGATTAAGATTACTCTTGTGTTCCATGATAATTACAAAATTGATGCGATTGCCTTGTTTGATACTGGTGCTGATCTGAATTGTATTAAGCAAAGCATTGTTCCAAAACGTTTTCATATGCATACACATGAACGTCTATCTGCAGACAAACAATTCCAAAATGACCATACATGGTAAGACGAAGCCTCTGTGGTCAATGGTCGCATTGCAATCAAAAATCATTTTATCGCTTGTTGAAAATATGCATCATATGGTGATCTTAGGAACACCTTTCATAAATCTTGTTACTCCTTATTACGTGAAGCATGATTGCATACTTTTCAAAACCAAGAATACAAAACTTGTTTTCCACTTTTCTAGAAGAACCTAAAACCAGGAATCTTAACATTATCCAAGCATGCTCCATTTACGACTTTGAATTGAATGCCATAATTTCTAGCAAACAACGACATTTAATGCATTTGAAACATGATGTTTCTCTATACAAAATCCAAAGACAACTACGGGATGAATTTCTAAAAAACAAAATTCTAGATTTTCAACACATGCTTGAAAAAGAGATTTGTTACGATTTACCGAATGCCTTCCGGAATAGGAAACACCACGGTGTTGACCTACCCTATGAAATAGGATTTGATGATCGACAAATCCCTACTAAAGCTAGACCTATTCGGATGAATGCGATCTAGAAAAACATTGTAGGTTAGAAATTCAAGATTTAGAAACCAAAGGTCTTATCCAAAAATCCGGATCTCCTTGGTCTTGTGCGGCTTTCTATGTCAATAAAAATGCTGAGATCGAAAGAGGAACCCCCGGGTTAGTCATCAACTACAAACCTTTGAACAAGGCTCTTAAATGGATTGGGTACCCTATCCCTAATAAAAAGGACCTTTTACAAAGATTAAACGAGTGCATTTGTATTCTCAAAGTTTGATATGAAGTCGGGTTTACGGCAAATCCGGATAACCCCAAATGACAGATACAAAACCGCCTTTCTTGTCCCGTTTGGACAATATGAATGGAAAGTCATGCCTTTCGGATTGAAAAATGCCCCTTCGAATTCCGGAAGATTATGAATGATATTTTCCATATGTATGCCGATTTTTGCATTGTTTACATTGATGATGTGCTTATTTATTCTATGTCTATAGAACAACATTTTAAGCATCTCAAAACCTTCTTCCATATAGCAAAAAAGAATGGATTGGTTGTTTCTAAATCTAAGATTTCTTTATTCCAAACTCGGATTCGTTTCTTAGGTCATTACATTACCCAAGGAACAATTTCTCCTATCGAAAGATCCTTAGAATTTGCAAACAAATTTCACGATAAAATTTTAGACAAAACCCGATTGCAAAGGTTCTTAGGCGATCGAATTATGTTTTAGATTTACGCCCAAACATCAACCGTATTGCAAATATATATATATATATTCATAAAATAATCAATAACACTAGTATAAAAAAAAAACTTTATTTGAATCCTCGGATAGTTTTTCTAAAACATTATTTTAATTATTTTATTTGAAAAAAATTAATTTTAAAATATCCAAAATATAAATAAATAAATAGTAAATGGTTAGTATTTTGTGTGTAGATGCATAATTAATTTTCAATAAAATTTAAAAATTATAAAAATATATCGTAAAAATTATATTAATTTATTTTTTAATAAATGAGAAAATAATATGTTTGCAAATTTTATTCTAAAATCTAGATATAGAAAAAAAATCATATTTGTTAGCAAATAAAGTTTTATAAGAAAAAATTAAAAAAAAAATCATTGGATAAGAATTTCTATAAGAAATGAGAAATTAAAAGAATAAATTTTAAATAATAAGAATAATATAATTTGAAATGAAACATATGTTCATTATTTGAACACACCTTTAAATGATTGAAATAAGGTCAAATTTTTGTTTGAAACTTTGAAACTCTTTTTAATGAATATTAAAAACATAAAAATCTAAATTAAATTTAAAAACTTAAAATATTTTAAGATCTTGATCTACTTCTTTTAATTATTTTATAATTTGAAACAACTGTAAACAAACTCTCATTTTCAAGATAAATTAATTGAAGTCAAGATCTATGGTTATAGTAACTCTGGAAAGTCCTTGCTATAGCTTTCGCTCTTTCTCTTATTCTTTTTCTTCGTTACTCTTTTGTCTATACAACCAAGGACTAAACCACATTATAAATAAATCTCAAAATCGAAACAAAAACTTTTGAAAATTTTGAGACAAAAAATGCAATATTTGTTAAATTTTGCATATCATATGATCGGGAAAAAAAAGTTGGAAATCACAATAATACCATTAGTGGATGATGTCTATAAATTTAGGTGAATACTGAGGAGATTTCTACTATTGATTGAACAATCAACATCTCATTTATTTTAGTTGTCTTAGTTAATATTGCGTGTCGAGTTACAAAAATGGCATATTGTAGTCAGATGCAACTTTGCCCTGTGGGTCTGGATTTTGACCATGAAAACTCACATGGACATGCATGGGCTTCAAAGTTTCCGAAAAAAACCTTCCAAAAAGAGAGAGAGTGAGACTTACGTTTAAGAATGCGGCGGGAAAGGCTTTGCAGTTGATGGGGTTCTTTTCTTGACAAGGAAGTAAGGAGAAAAGGTGGGAATGAGGAGAGAAAATGCTAGTGTTTTCCTTTCCATTCCATTCCATGGTTGGAATCCAAAAATTGAAGCTATCCATTCTCTTTAAAATGCTTGGATTGCCGGGCTTCTCTCACGTACTACTTGTAAATGAAACCAGCTCCAAACCACTTCCTACAGTCGCCGGCTCTATTTATTCATCATTCCATTAAACATATCTCAATTCAATGGAGTCCCAACCGGGTATGACACCACTATCATCCACAATAATGAAATAATATTTTTTCAATTTATTAGTTTTTTGTTTTTTTAGTGCCCAATCCTTGAATTTAATTAATTTTGTTCTTTATGGTGCACAGAATTGAGTGTTTTGGAAGTAAACAAGCGATTGCTTACGGAACTTGAAGATATGGGATTCCCACGGCTCCTAGCAGCAAGGGCACTTCATTATTCTGGTGAGCCTTTTTTTTTTCCCTGCATAATGGCATGTTCATGTGATTAAGTGTTCTAGGTCTGAATTCGAAAGGGATTAATTAATTAATTAATTATGATTCGAAGCACAATGATTAATGCTAAACAAACTTTTATACAAAATTTTCATAAAAAACATGAAAAATTTGAGAATTAGTGTTATGTTAATTTGTGTATGAACGTGAAAATTTTCTCTTGATTCTTTAGACAATACTGGCATTGAGGCTGCCATAGATTGGATCGTTGAGCACGAGAATGACCCAGATAATATTGATCCAACGCCCTTGGTACGTACGATTTTTTTTTTTCTCCCACGTCTTTTGTGATCAATTTTTCCTTTTATTTGGTATACATTGTCTAGAATTTACTTTACTTGCCTGTTTCAATTCAATCCAGATAGCAGTGAACATTGATATCGACTCTCCTCAGCCATTTCAAACTACAGAGGAAATGCAAATAAAAGCACAAGAATTAAGGTTAATTTGTCCATTTTCTACCTACTTAGGGTTATATGGATAAATCCTTTTCTGCCTATTTCTATCACACTAATTAACTTCTTAACCACGTGGTTGTTCAAGCTTGTAAGAAAGTTACACTAAAACCTAAATGTAAATATGCTACGTAAAATTTGTATTTAATTAATTAATTGATTGTTTAAATTTAATTAGAAGTTCTAACACATAGAATATGTTTGTAAATTTGTTCTGACCAAGAACTCAGTGATGAACTGGTTCGAAAATACCCCTTACCTTTGAGAAAATAATTGGGAAAGGAGAGTTTGCTTTGTTGTAGATTTTTCTAGTTAGTTTTGGTCATTAATTAACGTATGAAATAATGAGGAGATGGAAATTTTGGAAAGGAAAGTTTGATGTGTACATACAGAGAATAACGAAAGTACTTTTGTCTGATCAAATCTTTTTTTCGACATAGTTGGTGCTTTTATATCTATTTCTAGTTAAGGATAATCATACACAAATTAAAGAGAACATAAGTAATTGGATCTTATATCTGAATTTCCATTTTGTTTTTTCATCTTCTTAAAAATATTACTCACCCAGGAATCGAGCTCGCAAGAAGAAGGAAGATGAAGAAAGGAAGTCGGAACGAGTAAGGGAGAAGGTATTATGCATTTATCTTGATATTTTCTCATTTCTTCTGCTAAGTCATATAATTCCTTCTATACTAACCTCTTCTTCCTTCACTATGCATGTTTCCCTTTCGGTTGCTTTAACTGATCTTAACTTGAATTTTAGTAATGATGCGTGGATTTTGGTTCAACTAGATGCCCACCATGCTTGCAGTAAATATTAGTTGCTGAGGTCTTTGCAGCAAATCTGTTTCTTTTAGTATCTATTTGTCCTTTTGATTTGGGAATTCATGTGTACTCCACATATTGTGATTCACTTTATACATTTCAGATTTTTCATGATCTAGCTGCTAAATTTGTTACAGGAAAGGATTCGAGCTGGCAAGGAAATCCTTGAAGCGAAGCGAATTGCTGTGGATAATGAAAGAAAACGGTATGCTCTTAACATTTGGCTCCTCTGTGTATCGCAATATATGTTAGTTTGTCCGTTCACCATTCTTCTCCGTCTGAACCTTTAAATGCATTTTATTTTTACCAGTTATTTAGCCTTGAGGAAATCAGAGAAAGAGGAAGAGAAAAGGGCAAGGGATAAAGTTCGTCAGAAACTGGAAGCTGATAAGGTGTTTTTCATTGCCATGTCGAGGAAACATTTCTGTTCCTCAATGTGTATGAAAAAGGGTTATGCATTATTAAGTGATATTAGTGTCTAGCGTACTAACCAGACTTTGAAGAGAAAGCAAAAATGAAAAAAGGAAAGGAAAGAAAGATGAAAACTGTAGGTACATCATGAATAGGGAGTCGTCTGCTATAGGAGAAAGCAAGTGGGTGATCCCTGAATAAGAGAATGCCTGGTTTATTAGCATTAAAAAAGTCATGCCTGTTGATTAGTAATGTAAATTTTCATGAAGAATTTTACATCTTGTATCTTGTGGTTCATGTTGACCCTCATTATGAAGGTTCAGATCAGAATCTGTCTTCTGGCTCTGAACATTTTCTTTTTATTGGGCATTAGAAGTTTTCTGCTTTTCTTCACAGGCTGAACGAAGGCGGATGCTTGGATTGCCAGCAGTAAGCCAGGCAACTACAAAACTTTCTAGACCTTCCACACATGAAAAAAAGGTTTGGTGTGTTTTAATCTATAACTAAACAATATTCAATCTTCAAAGAAAATCTGATACACATGGTCTCCTTATCACAATTAAATTGCAGAACTATGCTTCCATTACGTCTGTCAGGAAAGCTGAGCAGTTAAGAGAATGTTTAAGGTCTCTCAAGCTCAATCACAAGGTAAATGACTTCTGTTCTTTAACCTGTTTTCTGGTAGAAAGGCAAAAGAGATGCTAACCCTTGATTTTAAACAAGGTCTTTCTATTTTGGCTCACTGGAGACTGAACCCTTTTTTTTTTTTTTTAATTAAGGCCTTGCTATAAAATGACAGTGAATCCTTGAAGAAATTCAGACCTTGTCATGGCAGTAGAACTATACTGCTCATATTTGTATTATTTCCATGTCTTTCTTTTTCTTTTTCTGGGTATAGGATTCTGATGCTACAGTCAAAAGGGCCTTTCAAACTCTTCTCATTTATGTTGGGAATGTTGCAAAGAATCCTGATGAGGAAAAATTCAGGAAAATTCGCATCAGTAATCCATTATTCCAGGTAAGATACTCACTTGATTGATCACGTTGAGACCATTTATATCCTCCAGAAGAATTTAAAATTTTTCCCATTTGGGGCGAACCATTGGGATGGATTGTTGCCACATCATTTTGCTCTTTTAGGCTAACTGGATCATATTCACATCGAGCTCTGATTGTGAAGACATTTAAGTACTGTTGTGAAAAGTTGACATCGTAAAGTGTAACCTTTTAGTAGTCTTCCTATCCGTTGCATGTTTTTAAGTTGAGATGCACATTAAGGAAAGTTCAAATACCCAAATTTTTTTCCTAGAGTAGATCAGTGAACTTGTAGTTTGTTCTGTAAACACTTCAGTGTGACAAAGTGTTCAATTTTCTATTAGTAAGCTTGATAATTTTTTTTCTAATAATTTCTCCCCAAATGTGGTGGCAGAATAGGATTGGAAGATTGAGAGGAGCCACTGAGTTTCTTGAACTTTGTGGGTTCGAAAGAATCGAAGAGGACAAATTCTTGTATCTTCCTCGTGATAAGGTAGACTTGGCAGTTCTAAACTCAGCAGGACTGGAGATAAAGTCTGCAATAACGAATCCTTTCTTTGGACTTTTCTCCCATGCGTAGGATGCCATTGCTGTTCTATCAGGTTCACTTTCTTGATTCTTAATTAAGATATAAACTTGGTGATAACTGAAACGAGAAGAAAATGTACAAGTTATTCCCCTATATATGATGGGTTCTCAGTTGTGGGATAAGGATATTATATTGTAATTGCACAAACCTCATGGAAATAAGTGTGCATATATATATGTGTGTGTGTGTATAGCTGTGAAAATGAGTACTCATTTCTGTTCGAAGAATTGACTTTGAAGGACAATTTTATTCAAGATGGAATACTGAACAAGAGACATAATACCTATCCAACACTAGGTGTTCAGCCAAATAAGCATTTACATGATAAACACGTAGCTATTTTCTGCAAATTCTAACCGATAAAACTCTAAAATACTGACACTCATTCTTTGACTCCTATAGACTCTCAACTACTAGATAAAAATAGACCAAATCAATAACCACAAACACAAAATTTCAGTAACAATAAAAATGGCCAATGATTAGTCAGACCACGTTTGAATTATTTCCAACACTTTTCTCCTTAGTTCAAACGTCGGCTTTCATTCCAATCATCAGTTTGAATTTCTTAAATTTATTTTCTGACAAGGCTTTTGTAAAAATATCAGCTGGTTGCATATATATGTGTGTGTGTGTTATAGTACTGCAGCTCAATTTCTCATTTGGCAACGAATTCTCTGATGATGAGGTGGTACTTTGTCTCAATATATTTGTTTCTTCCTTGTTGAACTGGATTCTTGGACATTGCAATGGTTGATTTATTGTCACAGAAGATCGCCGTAGACTTCTCTTGGTTGTGTTTTAGATCCTTCAAGATTTTCAGCAACCAAATGGCTGTTGTTTAGGCAGCTATGTACTTCTGCTTCCGTGCTTGATAAGACAGTAAACTCTTGCTTTTTTTATGTCCAGGAAATTGATAGATCCTGAACTAAGACTGAAAAAAAAAAAAAACCAGTTGTGCTAGCTTCTCTTATCATCTCGTCTAGCTAATGGCATCTCATTGCCATCTTTTCAAACTTCACTTTTTTTCAGCAGTTGAATTTGCTTGGAAATGGCTGTTCTTAGCCATTTTTCTCGTCTTGTGGCTGCTGCCATTTTTCTCGTCTTGTGGCTGCTGCCATATTTTCAGGCCAAAATCTCTGTTAGGATTTGACTCTTCAAGGGGCCATTCGATTTTGTCTCACTCTTCGTCAGGCTGTTGTCTTATTTTCATCATGGTTTCTTAGCCATTTTCCTTTCTTTAAGAAGAGCTCTTTTATTTCTTTCATGTGCGATCCCTCTTGTACTACATCATTACTTGTGCAAGAATCCATCTTTTCTTTGTGGATTTATCAGTTTGCACTCAACCCTTCTAGGTCTTGTTCTGCCTCTTTCTTTATGCAAGGTCCTAATTCTCTTGTTGGGCTCTACCATCTTGCATCTCCATTTTTTTCTTTGGATGTCATTCTCCATCCACTCTCTTTTGGGTCTACAGCTCATTTGTTTTTGCGATTTCTCCCTTTGTTCTACACACATGCTCTAATTCCTTGAATGCCTCATTAGATCCGAAGAAGCTCTCATACCAAAATGTTAAATGAATTGACTTTGAAGAATAATTTTATTCAAAATGGAATACTGAACAAGATACATAACAGCTATCCAACGTTAGGTGTGCAGCCTTTAAAAAGGCATTTACATTGTAAACACGTAGCCACTTTACGCAAATTCTAACTGATAAGGGTCTAAAACATTGGCACCTGTTCTTTGACGCCTATGACTCTCAACCACTATATAAAAGTGGACCAAAAGCAAACACGAAATTTCAATAACAATAAAAATGGCCAAAGACCAAGCGTTGGCCAAGTTGGAATTATTTCCGACAATTTTAAGGAGAATTGCTAAGTAAGTACTGTATGTAAATGGTAACTATTCCATCAATAATCTGTGAAACTCGTCCACTTGATCACCAGGCAGGTCCAGGCAAATATTAAGGCCTCCATCACCTTCTAGTCCAGGCAACAGAAAGACCAAACCAGGCTTTAACTCAACCGGAGTAGCATATTTCAGTTTCCCCCATGAAAATACATCTTCCTGTAGCCCCAGCCTAAACCATGCTACTAATGAGAAGCTGTTCTCCATGCAAGGCGTCCCTCTGTGAACCTCTAACCAATCTATCCCAGACCTCACGTACTCATCATCGAATATCTCTACCCCTTCTTGCACTTTCCTTACAAGGTAAGAATACTCTTTGTCCTTGAGTTCTCTCACACTTGCTCGTGCAAATCCAGGAACCAAAGCATTCCCAGCAAATCCAATTGGGGCTGGTGGCACCACAATTTTTCTCACATCAATTGGAAACAACATTGTACTACTTATCTCATCATGCATCTTTGTTGCGATGCTCCTCGCCTTCCATACCTTTGCAGCCATAGCTTGAAAAGTAGTGCAGGTTTTCAATTTTCCACCCTTAAGGGCTGCCGTTTTCAGGCTGGCAATGCGTTGAGGGGGAACGTAGATCAAATGAGTGTTACTGTGTGGAGTAGAGTGCACGACATTGGTGCAACTTGTGCCACCAACTGAGAAACAGTTGTCCGTAGTTTCACGGGGGTTGGAGTACTCGTGGTGTGGATAATTGATTCTTGGCGGGTTTCTTGCTTTGAAGATTGTTCTATCAGGGTTTGGAACTACGACCAAATCATCGCCTCGAGTAAATGCAGCCAAGTTTTTCTCAAAATCCCGGGCAGCAGCCCCATCCAGGACACAGTGATTGAACCGGGAGGCTAATGCTAAACTTCCGCATCCAAACTGTGTTAACTATCGAAACAGAAGATGCATATATGGTCGTCAGAATTATTGAACTCAATATCGTACCAACAGAATTATTCACGTGATTTGCATATGAAATTTTTTTATTTAACTTGACTAATTCTGGTAATTTAACATGAAAAATCTTACCATAATGGTATATTAGACACTTAAGGTATATTTAACAATAAAAATTAACTCAATTAAAGATACAAAGATCAATTGGGAGAATTATCTTATTATATAAGGATATATTGAGTTATTAACCTTTAATCAGAACAAAAATGTCAAAGTCTCAAAAAAATTGAACACCTACCTGCATATAAAGAAGGGGCTTGTCTTTGAGTTCCATTTCATCCTCACCTTCTTCGTGCAAGAAAGCAACCAACTGTTTAAACTTTGGTTTGGGTGCAAAAAGTGTGCCACCAAATTGGCTGAAACTGGTCTCAGTTCTGGCTGCAGCGACAACAACACCAGCACCATTACAGTCAATCTCCAACCGACGGTCATCTTCCAAAGCTGGCACCAGCCGTCCAGCAAAAAAGTCATAAGGCACTAGCAAAGAACGGAGTGCACGGTATAGGCTATTGCAAGATTCAGAGAAGCTGATTTTGTTTTCTGGAGGATCATAAAATGAAACAGATTCTTGATATGCAACAAGAGACAAGTCTAAATTTGATAAGAAAATTCGCCTTCGATTTGTGCTCTTCTCTGCTACAATCACAACTTTCTCCACTAACTTCGCACCTTCCTCCATATTTGCTAGCCCCTGTGATCTTCTCAACTAGATATTCAACTTTGATTTATAATATAGAAGAATGTAAGTAACTGTGCATGGTCTCTATATTAACTGAACAAAGAGTGGTTTTCTAATTAACTGAACATGAATGAACAGAAGCGTAAAATTAATGCATAGCCATAAATATTAACTGAAGAGTGCGTTTATGTTTTAGATGATTTTCAAGTTGTAACGTCGTGTATCTAAATTTTATGGAGATTATTATATATTTGGTGCATTAAATTTTTATTTTTTATTTATTTTTTCTATTAAGTGTTTTTATTTTTATTTTGGATGTTTGAATTTGTAAATTTTCAAAGTTTTTCTAATCAAGTGTTTCTATAAAATTCCATCAAATAAATACTGAAATTATTTTTAATTAATTGACATGTAAGCATGTTGACATAACAGAAAAGTTGCATGAATGTTTTACTTTATTTCTAATCGAAAAATATTTTTTTTTATTTGAGTGTATAAATTTTTATTTTTGTTATTTGAAAGTTTGTATTTCAATAATTTATATTTGAATGCTTATAATTTTAAAAGCCAACAAATGTTCACTTTGCATCCTTATATAGGCCATATTAGCATGCCTCTTGAGGGTTGCTGCATAATGAGTTACATACTCATCTCATGTGTTTAACTATATAAAATGAAGAGTTCTAATAATCTATGTAATAATAGTAATAAGACGGTTTACAAAATATAGAAAAAAATTATTTCAAAACTTTTACATACATCTGCTTATAGAAATGAAAAATAAAACATTTCAGGTTGACTTTTTATTATAGTAAATTATTACACAAATTCTAATTTTCTGGATCAAGAAAGGAAAGTAAATATTTGCTAACCTACTCCAATAATGTAAGGATATTTTAATTATTACATAAATTTGCAAGATAAAAAAATTATTTAAATAAATAGACATGCTAATTAATTTACTCCAATAATGTATTAAAATTAAATTAAAGAGCCTATTTTTAATAATTCAATAAAATATTTTAAGAATAAAAACACTAAAATTCACTCAACTCCCTCTCCTTTCTCACAAACCATATGCATATATATCTTTATCTCTAATTTCAAAAGGTAAAACAATTAATTATTTTTACAAAATTAATAATTTTAAAAACAGATTTATTATATAACAAAGATCACTTTTTAATTATACAATTTTACATGTGTAATGAATTTTCGATAAGATCTTTAATGTCATTTGCCAAATATATGTTCATCCAAAGCTTCATCAAAATCCTACTCTCTCTTCTTCTTTTTTCATAATTTTGTTGCTTTTTTAGTTATTTTTTACTTTCTATTCTAGTCAATTATGATCCGCATAATTTATTTTTTGACACCTCTTTGTTCTTATTTGCTTTTAATTTTAAAAAAAATTATTATCACTATTTTATTATTTTAATTTTTTAATTTTATTTAACTTAATCAAAGCCTATAAAATATTGCAAAAGGACATTAATTGCTAGCTTATGAAATTAGCATTACTCAATTAATAAAAGGCTTAACCCCATAGTTCGTCATGTCTTTGCTTGCATCCATAATTTTGTCTTTGTGTTTCAAATTCAATCAATTTAACCTTGCGTTATTCAATTTGAGTCAGTTGATGTGAATACTAACATCTATTTAAATTAGACAGTAGTTGTATGTGATGCGATATTAAGTAGATCCTGTAAAAAAGAAAACGTCTATTTTGAATCCTACTAGAAAAAAATAATAAGTACATCAATTTCAAACTTTTTTTCACTCAAATATATCAATTTTTATTTTTTCCGTTTCAGTATATCAATTTTTTCGAAAACAATAATCAAGCTTTTTCGTCTAATTTTTGTCTAGTGATGATGTAGAAATCAATAGAAAAGACTAAATAACTACGCTACCCTTCACTACTAGAAAACGGTGAATTAGCGACGCTCTAGACAGATCGCTAATTTTTAAAAACTCATCGCTAAATAAAATTAGACATGATTTTGCGATGATTTGAAAACCCTCAAAAAAATGCTTGTTGCTAATTTTTAGCGACGGTTTTTTAAGTCCATCACTAATTTAGCTATAGAAAAAAAAAAAAAACCATTGCTAATTTAATTAAAATCGTCGCAAATTTTCAAGAAAAACCTTAGCTAAACTTAAAAAATTAGCGATAGTTTTTCAAATCGATTGCTAATATTATGTATTGAAACCGTCACCGAATTTTTTTAAAATTTTTTTTACTCGAATTTTAATTGTTTTAAAATCATTGCTAATTTTAATTTTTTTCCTTCTTTCGTACGCACCTCGCTAAATGTATATATATTCAATCCTCTTTTAAAATCGTCTTTATAAAAACCATAAAAGCACTAGACACATTTCATTCATTTTCCTCTCAAAGGGTTTGACTATTCCTCTTGTATATCCTCTTTAATATGTCAAGCTATTTCCTTAAAAACAAGCACTTGTCCTTCTCTTTGAATGCATAAAACATGATAAAAATGTTTTTGTGACATGGATGTAATCAAGTAACACAACAATAAGTAATTAATATCTACTAAGCATGTAGACTTGAATTCATTAAGTATTCATATTAGTAAACACGTAACACTCATCAATGTAACATTAAGCAATGGCATTACTACAAGTAACAAGTAACACAACAAGTGCACAATCATCCAATACATATGATGGAAAAATAATCAAATCACTTCAAATTGTCTTAACCGAATATATCATGCAATCCTCAAGTGAATATATGAACATTTAATCTAGTTTCAGTAAACATAGTCATAGGCGAAGTCATCCAATCATAACATAAATATTCAATCATCAAAGAAGCAAGTGCCCTTAAATGTAGTATTCGATCGAATCATCGACAACAGTGCATTCAATCACCAACTAACCTCATGAATCCACAATCTACTAATATCAAGTAATCCCACCAAATCTAAAATCAACCAAGTAACAATCTCACCTAAACATAAATGAAGCATCATCGAATGTCACATGAACCCTAAACTATCATGTAACATCATAAGTGTTCATTTATCAAGTAAACACATCATTAAAATGTTCATCCATCAAGTAAACATATGAACACTAAATCATAAAACATATTTATCTTGTTATTAGTTCAATTACATATATTACATATACTATTATCAAGTGATCATATGCATATAACATCAATTAAACATAACTTTATGGATGATCAATCATCAAGCAACAAGTGAACACGAGGTTATTAACACAAGTCCTATAACTTTCACATTCAATTATCAATCAAACACATATAACGCTTATGTAAAACATTAAGCAACACATAAATATCAAAGTTTCTAACACATATGTCTTGTGATATAGTTGAGATTACATTTCCTTAACGTCTAGTTAATGTTGAGAACACCTTATTTGTGTACAAAGATCTCATCTTCTCCCTTGCAAATTCTCATCAAAAGCTATCCAATTTTCTTTTCTTCTTCTCGGTGAAACCATTTCCTCTTGTTTTCGAGTTAAACCATCTAGATTTGGTTTTCTTACCAAATCAATTTTCTCTCTTGTTTTCTTTTATCTTCAAGGCTAAAACACCAAAATTAAAGACCTAAAGCTTTCCCTCTTTTTTCCTCTTTTTCCTCTCATTTTCGGCCGCTCTTGATTTTCTTAGTAAGTTTAGTTTCCTTGCTTGTTAAGTCTATGTTTTGCAAAGGTCAATTATCCTCAAGATGGTTTAGTTATTTTTTCCCTTTTATTTCTTCTCTTAATTGAAATTGAGAAATTACGAGGAACTTTAGGAACTCAATTGTATTAAGTAACTTACTATGTTAACTTTGATATTTCTTTCTAGATTTTTCTACACTAAACATATGATATTTTACATATTAATACATGCATACAAGTTGCTAACCAAACTTTATTTTAGGTTATAACAAGTATGGAACATTTAATTAGGTTATATCTCTAAATTCTCTAATTTTAAATGACTTAACAAACTATTTACTACACTTGGTCCCTTAACTCACTTAAGTCCTCAATCTTTCAATTATTACACTAAGGCCTCTTAGTCCTTCACATACTTATAACAGCTTAAACATTATGAACTTCCAAAACTAAATAATTGGTAATGCAAACACAAAGCATAATACTAATGCAAACATAGAACACATCTTCTAAGCAAACAAGTAAGCATAATTTTCCACATAAACTTGACATACCCATACTTTAAACAAGTGAACACACATACATAAAAGTGTATCATGATGTTTAAGGTCAAAATGGACACACACACACACATACACATGTATAGGAATGTCTCAAAGTCTTGGGTATTACAAGCGATATTTCGACATGCCGACCAGCTACAAAAAAAAAAAAAGATCAACAAACCTTAGTTTGTCTCAAATCCAATGTGGGATACATAACGATGGGATTGGAACACACTAGAATTTTAGGCCCATTCCGAGTAGGTGACACCACATGAGCGAGATGGATGGCGATGGTGTTTGGCCATCTAAACATGCAAAAGGCTCTATCTCATAGATTGAGCATGCTTAATGAATGGTAAATCCTATTATCCATTACGTTATAAATTAATATTTGAATTTATTGCATCTCATAATTTTTATTTCTAATTTTTTAGGATAAAGAATTGTGTCATGATCCGGATCCTTACAAGTTGTTTGTGATGACTCATATAGTGTTAGGATAGATCCTTTATAGATCCATGGTCCTCGGGAAATTAGGGTAAGTTTTTTATTATTTGAATTATACATATACAAATTTAATCAAAAAATATATTTTTGATTTAATATTTTTTTTCAATTGCATATGAGCATGTGGACCTATTGTATGCATTAGCTACTAGCCAATACTCAAACGATGATTCATCACCTACAAGCATCGATATGTCATGGATATATCTCGAGTTATAGGCGGAAGAAAAAGCATAAAGTGTATAACTTCGGTATTACTAATATTCCGACGCTAGTTTATTCTCGACC